AAATAGTTTAGTCTCCTCTATCACTTGCAGCACGACTACTCTCTCGAGCTAAAACCTTGAGACATCGATGGCTTTTGATTACCAGACGACAACGATGGAAACTTTAGAGTATGAATACCAACGACGGTGTTGAAATCGACTCACAACTCTAACTACACGTAGACTCGTTTTTAAATTTAACAAACTTCTTTGACATAAACTAAACATAAATGTTAGTAAATAAACTTATAATTTAACTAAATTTTGAATAACCCAATGTGCGAGCGAGTAAAGGAGGAAACTATGGTTTAACCTAACAACCACAACAAAAAAGTATAAATGGTAGGCGATGCAGTTGACTTGAATTCCATCGACCTGCAAAATCGGATTGAGATTACCCGACCACTGAAGAACATATGCGCGCTGAATCTGTATCCGTAGCAGTACTGTAACGACGACAATGAAGTGCCCCTACTGTTCGGCGGCGCAGGGGCGGTGCGCCACATCGAGCACTGGCAAGTCCATCACCGAGTGCGTTTCATGCGGCCGCGTTGTTGAAGAGCGACAATTCCAGCCTCATCACCTCTTCCACCTTCGCGCTCAAGATAACCCCCTTTGTCTCGTCACCTCCGACCTACCCTCCCCTCCGGTCCACCACCAGAACGATCAGGTTTTGGATCCTTTCGAGCCCACAGGCTTCATTACAGCCTTCTCCACATGGTCCTTGGAGCACAATCCACTCTTCTTCCGCTCCTGCTTCTCCTTCTCCGGTCACCTTGCGGAGCTCGAGCGCACCCTAGAGTCTACGTCGTCAGCCAATTTACCGTCGTCGTCGACGGTCGTGGTCGATAACCTTAGGGCTTATATGCAGATTATCGATGTGGCTTCTCTTTTGGGGTTGGATTACTATATTTCCGAGCATGCGTTTAAGTTGTTTAGAGATTGCTGTTCGGCTACTTGTTTAAGGAACCGGAGCGTTGAGGCGCTTGCCACTGCTGCACTTGTTCAGGCAATTAGGGAGGCGCAGGAGCCCCGAACCCTTCAGGTCTTTATTTCACTTTAAATAAGTTGTTTGATTCTTGGTTTTGTTATGATATGTTTTGATGTTCTCGCATAAAGTTCAGGAAGATTTTGGGAAATTCACTGTTGTGCAGATGAATTGAGAAATCTATGCAGCTATTGTCCATTGATGTTGTTCTTTGATAGTTGGCGTGGCTATGGCTTTCAAGTTCATCTTTTGACCATACATCTTTCTTATTTTCTTTACAAAAGTGCTAACTACCCGCAAGATTTGTTCGAATTTCATGAATTTCCCTTGCTTGTTCTACATATTCAGTCAATTGTTATCCTTCCTCTGATTTCTTGCAAAATTATTATTTTGGAGTGGTTAACTTTCTCAGGTTAGAATTTAAAATTTTAATCCTCGTATATGTTGCTATCTGTACAAGCCCCTTTCTGCACTTATGAAATTTGAGTTGTGTCTTCTACCAATTGTGATTTTGAGCTATGTTTTGTCATCTTTACTTCACTACTGATACGACAACTAAAGTGGTGCATACTGTGAGTATAACAGGAAATCTCCATTGCAGCCAATGTACCCCAAAAAGAGATAGGGAAGTACATCAAGATTTTGGGAGAAGCTTTGCAATTAAGTCAACCTATCAACAGCAATTCCATTTCAGTCCATATGCCAAGGTTCTGCACGCTTCTTCAACTCAATAAATCTGCTCAGGTACCTCAATTTCATTTCTTAGACCAAGTTAAGGCCTATTTATTGGTATGCATTGGACTGTAAATAGTTGATTCTGTTCAATATGATCAAAACTTCTACGGCATGAGAAAACGGACAAGTGCTGTATCCTTACTGGGGGCAAAAAATGACGGAGAAATTTCTTTGCAAATAACTCTTGAAGGTTATTTTGATTGGACTCTCAAATGCTCTACGTAAAAAGGCATTATGGAGTTTATAAAACTTTTATGCTCTACCAGTGGTACATGGTTCATGAGGAGTTGTAGAATCCTTATGGATAAATTTAGAGGGCTAGACGAAGTTCGGGAGAAGTACATGAGGAAAAATACGACACGCCCCCACCTAACAAAACGAACGGAAGTTCTGAAGTAGCCCTATGCAAAATTTTCAAATCTTTCACAATTGTGCTTTGTGTCTATTCATCCCTTCAAAGACTTGGGATCTCTTTTTCAACCACAACTTCCAAAAGATAGCTTTCACCACGCTGTTCCAAAGCATTTTGCTTCTAAGGTTTTAGTAATTACAATGTGCTTTTGGTAAGTGTCAATTAGAGCACTTCTCTGCTGTCTTCTTTGGCTTAGAGTGGCTTAATGTCTTATCTCCCCTTTGTTTTCTTATACTTTCCAAGAGTGATAATAGTTGTTTCTTGTTTAATAATTTAAATTCCGATAATGTTATTCTCTTTCTATGTGGTCTATAGATTCACCTTTTCTTATTTAAACTTTCCAAATAGACACCAACCTTAAAGGGACTAAAGTTGCAATTTAACCTTAATTTTATTTGTTTTGAATGCATTATGTCAAAACAGATAAGTTACAAATTTGTACAATAAAATTTGTGTTCATGTGTTTCAAATTCTGCTTGACCACTGGCATTGGTAGTTCTTCTCAACAATAATATTGGATATAGTAATGATCGTTTACCTTTCCCTCCTTACAACTCCAAGCATGTGGTAACATGTGATCTATTATTTATTTTCCCTCTATCATGCTTGTTGACAACTATGAATTTTAGGAACTGGCTACTCACATCGGGGAAGTTGTCATCAACAAATGCTTCTGCACTCGCAGGAATCCCATTAGCATCTCGGCTGCTGCTATATATTTAGCTTGCCAATTAGAAGACAAACGGAAGACACAAGCAGAAATTTGTAAGGTTACAGGTCTTACTGAAGTCACCCTCCGGAAAGTCTACAAAGAGCTACTAGAAAATTGGGATGATTTGCTTCCGTCTAATTATACTCCTGCTGTCCCTCCAGAAAGGGCATTTCCCACAACTGTAATTGCTTCAGGCCGTTCTGCTGCTCCAAAAGTTGATGCATTTGAACGGACGTCTTCAGAGAAAGACAAGCAGATAGACACTAAACCTAATATATCCACCGAGATCTCAGACATGGGTCATCCATCCAGAGTCAAAGAAGATAATGAGAGTAAATTTGTATCCCGTGGAATGTATAACCCTGTAATTAACAAGTCATCAACTTTTTGTCAGCCACATCCTCCTCCTAAAGGCACTGTTGGGAAGAAGAGTCAAAGTGATATCCAGGGAATGGATATTGTTAAGGAGCACCCGCACTCCACCAGCCAGCAATAAGAACAGAAGGAGGATGAAGCTTGACGCCACCCAATTATGCTATATTGGTTAAGTGGAACTGTACGATGTTGAAATGAAAAAGGTAGATTCATAGTAATGTTCTGGTAGAAGCGAACATTTCCTTGCGTTTATTTAGGAGAAGGACCAAGCAAATGGATTAGAAGTTCCCAATGTAAGGCCTCGGCAATTCAATTGTCATGGAGAATTGCAGTGTTTCCAACGAGGATTAAGGTACATATGTATAATTAACTCGAACATGTTATGGTTTTGAACTCTTATGCATCACACACGACAGTTCTCGTCTTTTACATGTCTGAACTGCCAACCATCTAGATTTGCCCGTATAGTTCGCTTCCAAGTTACAAAAGAGTAACGTTCTGTAGAATTAAAATTTCAGATTATGATTATTTACTCTTAATTCCTGATGTATAATGAAGACCATTGGTTCAGATTTTCATCAAATGCCTTTTGATATTCCTCGGATGGATAAGGTGGAAGGTCTTTACAGAACCCACCACTTCTCTCTCTCTCTCTCTCTCTCTCACACACACACACACACACAAAAGAGCCGGACATAGTCGAGGAAGTTGGGAAAGATGCTACTGTCATCATCCTCTTTAGTTCGAGCATTGCCGGTTAATCGTTTGAATTCGTTTTGTAAACCGGCGAATCCACGGACGGCAGTGAAGATTCAGGCCATGGCAAAGGAAGGAAGCGAGAGCGAAGGGGGCATTGCAGAGACGTTGGCAATAGCCGGGGGGTTAGTGGCGACCCCAGTGATCGGTTGGTCGCTGTACACCCTGAAAACAACCGGGTGCGGGCTGCCGCCGGGGCCAGGCGGGTCACTCGGCGCATTGGAAGGCGTCAGCTACTTGGCGGTGGTGGGCATCGTGGGTTGGTCGGCATACACGAAGACGAAAACTGGATCTGGCCTGCCCAACGGCCCTTTTGGGCTATTGGGCGCGGTGGAAGGTCTGTCGTACTTGAGTTTATTGGCTATCTTGGTCGTTTTTGGGTTGCAATACTTCGAACAGGGGTACATCCCCGGCCCTCTTCCGGCTGATCAGTGCTTTGGTTGACGATTCTCTTCTTTAACTATTTGGGGTCTATCCTTTGAATGTATGTGGCTGTTGTTTCTCCTAGTTTTGGTTTGATTGTGTTTTCTTCTCTTTCATTGCGCATAGGACTTTCCCTGTTTTTTGGGTTTCGAATGTAATATAATTAAACAAATTTACTTTAATTATGTCTTAGTGCAATTCCTCGATTACTATTAGTAGGACAACCTAAGAGTCCACTGTCAACTCCAACATAGTTCAAAGAGATGAATTGTGAGATCTCACATTATTTAAAGAAGAGATCTCACAGTTTTTATAGAGCACGGTCTCTCTAAAAACTTTGTGGCTGACTAAAGTTGATAATATCTATTAGTAGACATGCTTTAAAAATCACAGAATTTACCAAACAGACTATATTTGTTAACCAAAACAGACTATATTGGTTAACGATATATTTAAGTTATTATAGTATATAAATAAACTTAGACATCGGAGAAAGTCATCTTAATAGTGTTAATTTTTTCACCTACTAGTAATTTTGAAAATTAAAGTCTTTCTAATTTTCTTATATATTAAAGAATTTTGTAGAGTTGAATTGTTAAAATATTTGGGAGTCCTTGCAGAGTAAGTGTATAAATACCCTCGATAAAACCATACAGCTTTATTCCGCCTCTTCCAGTTCCCTCCGTTTCGACCCGACCGTACTAACTAGATCCCGAGCAAAAAACACTCGCCAATGTTCTCCGTCCACTCCCTTTGATTTCTGGTATCAAATTATTTGTAATCGTATTAGTCTGAGCAACCAACGTGTGCTGCCATGGGAGACTACGATGATGCCTTCATGCGGAATCCCAACGCGGCGGTTCAGACTCGTACCAAGGCTCAGAATCGTGCCAATGTCCTTCAACTCAAACTGGTACGTGGAAGGTTTTCGACTATTATCATCATTTATTTTGAAGCCTTCGATTGTTCTTTTTTTGTTTGATTGAAGTTAGCTAGGGTTTCAGAATTTGTTGTTGTGTCGCAAAACTATGCATAGATGTTGTCGTTATAGTTGTTGCGTATTCATAATGATTGATTTTCGTTTTTTTTTTTTTGTTTAGAGATGATAAATTAAGTTCTACGTTGAATACTCATAGATCGCTAACAACGTATTGTCAATGAAATGTCTCGTGTCTTATTAAAAGAGAAAAATACAACATCTAGTCGACAGCAGCATGGTGTGGTACGATGACTTAATATTATCATCGGGGGTCGAAATTTCAGATTATGGTTTTCCAAGAAACTGATGTGTTTTTAGAACATTCGACTATGGAATGTCTCGGGTTCTTAATTTTCCTTCTCGTGCAGATTGGACAGAGTCATCCCACTGGTCTTACGACCAATCTCCTGAAGCTCTTTGAGCCCCGACCGCCTTTGGAGTTCAAACCTCCACCGGAGAAAAGAAAATGTCCACCATTAACAGGTTTTTAGTACTTTTCAAAACTTGCATGGTATTTATTAATTTTTTTAATGTAGTTTTTTCCTTACTATTTTTGCCGAGGGATGTAATTTTATCGCATTTCGTTTTGAAGGGATGGCGCAGTTTGTGAGTAATTTTGCTGAACCTGATGATCCAGAATATTCTCCCCCTGTTCTAAAGGGTGAAACTCCGGTAAGATAATTTACTTCTTAATGACTGTGTGAACTACCTTCCCCAATCCTTTTAACATTGAATATTGAATCTCGTTCCCTCCCAAAAATATATATGTTTTGAATACATGTATGTATTGTAAGGAAAGTGAGTATTGCTTATAGTTTTAACTTAGAGGCTGTTTGGCAGCTTGTGATGCAATATGGTTTGCTTTAAACACAATTTTAGGAATTTAAATTAGGTAGCTTGTAAGTTTTAAGGTTAGTGTATAACAATTCATTTGCCCATGATTTTTTTAGTAAGCGATGCTTTGATTTCTTTTAAACAACAGCAACATCAAATAAATACGTTATAACTGAACTTGTGTTACTAAAATACAGGAAAATTCTTTAAAAAGAACTTAGGTGCAGCCTCTTATTTAGTGTGGTATCTCTGTCGATTATTTTAGCACATTTGTAGTAAAAGTTTTTATCATTTAAAATAAAGTGATCTTAATTAGTTTCTGAAGACTGAATTTTCAAAATGATGGTTTATCGTGTATACATCTATGAGAATTATGGCGTAACTACTTAAGAATCTGATTAATCTGAAACTGAAACTTTTCAGGCACAAAGGAGGGCTAGAATTCACTTGCTGAGAATTGAAAAGGGTGCGAAGAAAGCTGTTGAGGAGCTGCCAAAATGTGATACATCTCTTCTGTACTTACCCTTAATTTGTAGGTAAAAAATTTGAATGTCGTGTCTTACATATGTACTTATGTGCAGATCTTGAACGTGATGATCCAAATGTAACTGGTGATCCATACAAAACACTCTTTGTGGCTAGACTGGTGTGTAAAATGTAGTGTACATAATTCTTTAATCTAAGCTTAATGTTACACTGAAAATCATTGTTACCCATTGGCAGAATTATGAGACAACTGAGAGCAGAATCAAAAGAGAGTTTGAGTCTTATGGGCCAATCAAACGGGTAGGTATTTGAGCATCCTCATGGGGCGCTCGGTAAGAGGTTAATATTTTTGTGGTCAATTATATACTTTATTTTACTATGAGAAATATTTTTTGGGTACTTATCATGTTTTTGGTCCATTTTTCTGAAAATTTTACTAGAATCTATTCCATTCTAAATCACTATGGGTTGGTTTAGTAGTATGTCTAAGCATTGATTTGCATGTGTGGTTTCAGTTAATAGGTCTTCTTGTATTGTTTTTCGTTGTAGTGACAATTAAATAGTTCATGCTTTCTCTTTGAATAACCCATCAGAAATATTCCACTGGCTTTCCAAACTATGTATCGACATGCGAAACAGATCTCTTACTTTTTATTTTTTATTTTTCCCAAAAACTTTCTCCCCATTTAAAGTTTTCAAATTTCTGGGTAAGTTTTTTTTGGGGGTAAAGCATATTTCCATCTGTCTGGATCCTTACGGTGGAAATAAGTTTGAATAACGATTAACGCCAAACACCTCCTGGATTCATCGTTGGTAATTCAAGCTCCTAATAGTCTCTCAGGTAAAGCTGCTGGTATGCAGTCATCAATTTGATGTGTATTTCATTTTCCTCTTAGTGATCGTGTCTTTGCCCGGATGTAATTGGGTTAGTTAATTCTTGAGGCATGATGTTAATTGGAAACTCCTTAGTAAAATTCTATACATCAAGAATTCCTGGTAAGGAGGCAGGTAGTCTACATTCAGCCAAATGTTATTCATGATTTTGGTATTTCTATGGCTCTGACCTGAAAGATGGTGGGCTTCACCATGCATGACAAAGCTGAAAATTTTAGGTTGGGCAGTGGAGTGATGTACTTTGCCTTTTGGCCTTTATATTCGAGCAACAATGGAGATTGTCAACTTATTATTCTGCCTTGGGTAAAATACATGGGAGTATTAGCATCTCTTTCTCCTTTGAATTTTGTACTGCATAGATTTTCTGCTGCTAAAAGTTGTACCTTTGGTTTTAAAGGCATCAAAAAATCTCATCGTTGAGAAGATTTCCTGGTATTTCCTATATTACATATACCTTTTTCATTATTTGAAAAATAATTCCCTGGTAAGGGGAGTTTATTATGTTCGACAACTGGTAAAATGGTCACAAATACATCAGTTTTTCCTGACTCTAGCTGGTGATGATGCATCTCGCAATGGAAGCTCTATGATTTAAAGGTGAGCACGGCTAATTAGGCATAGTGCCTGTCTGCCGTGCCAATAAGATTAGCTTATAATAAACTTTCTTACAGTATTTCTCTAGCTATAAATTCATAAAATCTTCATCGAGAATGTGTAATGGAAAGAGATTTGAACTTCTCTTCTGCAATATGACTTTTTTGTTTGTGCAAATATTCTGTGTTTTGCAGGCCCGATTGATTACGGACAAAGTGACAGGTAAACCTAAAGGCTACGCATTCATTGAGTACACGCACAAAAGAGATATGAAAGGTTTGTTTCAATTAATTTGTATTTTTAACCCTTCTATTCGATTAATGATTAGTTCCTTCATTTGGAGATAATTAATTTACTCACCTCCATTTGAAACTACTCAGCTGCATATAAGCAAGCTGATGGTAGGAAGATTGATGGTAGAAGGGTACTTGTGGACGTCGAGCGAGGTAGAACAGTACCGAATTGGCGTCCTCGATGGCTGGGTGGCGGTCTTGGAACTACCAGAGTGGGAGGCGAAGATAATAACCAGAAGCAGTCTGGAAGGTAATTAATATGATGTCAACAACTCCTGCTCTTTCTAGTGCAAGGCATTGAGAAATATTGATGATTATTGTACTATAAAACAATAATGAATGCGTGATAATGATTCTCGATCCAGTGTTTTTATCTTGCAAAGTCTTAATTTTTTGTGATCACTGAAAATTTATAAAGATTATATACGCTGAAAGCATCTGTGTAATTTGTACAGGGAGCAACAGCAGTCTGGTGCACCATCTCGATCAGAGGAGCCTAGGGCTCGTGAAGATCGCCATGGAGAGCGGTATGATGTTCCATATGTTCTTTTCATTTTAGAAAATTTTGTGCCAATACATATGTGCTTCTTTCAATTAATGGTTTCAGCATTTGACTGGAACTTCAGTTTATTGTTAATTTTAGATTCTGCGTAATTAGGCTTCGATTTAATATTTTCAGAGATAGGGAAAAGTCTTATGAGAAGGGAAGAGACAGAGAAAGAGAGAGAGAGAAGTCTCATGAACGTTCCCGTGAGAGATCTAAGGATCGTGATGTCAAAGAAGATAGGCATCACAGAGATCGTGATAGGACTAGAGATAGAGATCGGGACAGAGAAAGGGACAAAGAGAGAGATCGTGGCCATGACCGCGATAGAACACGTGATCGAGGAAGGGATCGAGGCCGTGACTATGAGCGTGATAGAGGTCGTGATCGGGATCGTCATCGCGACAGAGATAGGGAGAGGGATCGGGATCTTGAAGGGGGATTTCCAGACCCTGATCGTGGTCGCTCCCATGATAGGGAATCTGATTATAATCGGGAATCAAAATATGAAAAGGATAGACATGGTGATAGGGACAGAGATATTGATCGTGCTGAAACAGAAGATGATCATGGGTGGTATGATCAGCCTGAGTATGGGCATCGACACCCAGATAATGATCCTGATCACCAAAACTACAATCACTTTGAACATAACCGTAGTCGGGGACAATATGATCACCCAGAAGACCATCGTAACCAAGATCGTTATGATCAGAATGATAGAATGGAGGATGATTAACGTTATGACCGTGGCGCTTCTGAATCGCGCGATAGAGAGACCCCGTGATTTTAATCATGAATTTAGGCGCAGTGAGAGATCTCATTCGAGAGAATACGAGTTTCTCATGCTGCAGTGTGTACCGCTGGTAAGTATCTGCTCACTTTCTTCTCCTTTTCTTTATAACTGATAAAGCAGCCAGCTCTTCTCCCATATATGTTCCCTAGTGTTCTTCCAGGAGGAGGTTGAGGTGATATCAAATATCACGAAAAAGTACTTTGTAGCTGCCGTGATCGATGTTGGAATTGTCTTCTTTCTTCTGTTAATTAACCTAAAGATTCTGGATGCCTGATACTGTTTCTTCTTGGGAGTTTCAATTATTTCAGCTACTTTATCATGCAGATTGTTGCTTAGTTTATTTGTACTTCCCTAGATTTTCTGTATTAGTCTTTGACCGTGATTTTTAAACTTCTACGAGCGTCATAGAACATTGAATGCTTGATTTGATTGAACATCGTTTTGGTGGCAACAAGGTCAATATGGAAAACAGTTTGTTACAACTTGATATCAAGGAGTTTCATGAATCTCATTGTTCATACGTCTTTGGAATCTTTGAAGGCCTATAAGAATGACCCTTGAATTTTTATGAAAATTTGGAACAAATTTGTTACAAGTTTTGAACTTTTAAGGTCTAAATTGATGAATACTAAACTTTAGAGTCCACTTTGTGTCGTGGGTGGTCAAAAGAACGAGGCACTCGACCTACCAGTTGCAGACCCAATGGGCTCAAGCTGCCCAAACTGGAAACTGTCCATGAAACTCTTTGATATCAAGTTGTGAAGCCAAGCGATTACCCAATAGTCAGGCCTAACTTGTATAAAGGAGGGCAAAAACGTATGAACAATGAGATTCATCCCTCATTAAATCTGTATGCAATCTTAATTACTTGGATAAGAAAACAAAATTTTGCCGGGAATCAAACCCGGGTCTTCTGGGTGAAAGCCAAATATCCTAACTACTAGGTGCTTGTTGAGATATTTTAAATATTTAAATATTTATTTTAATCATATATATTTTGCTGAATTTTTATTGTTATATTTTAAGAAAAAATTAAGCTTATAAACTCAATTAGGATTTGGTTTATTTCAAGTTATTCCTTTGTTAATAAATTGTAAAACCGTCCTTAACTTGTCAAACTCTTAAAAACCACTTTTTTCTTTCTTCCTCTCAAGTATTTTTGGAATTTTATATTTAACTTAATTGTGAATATAGACTTATTATTTAAAAACTAACATAGAAAAAGGCATTGAAGAACGTGGGGGTGGGTTTTGGATGTTTGGAAGCATCCAATAATTGAGGCAAAGATACAACGAACATTTCTAAGTTATTATTTTACACTTTTGGGAGTTGTTATTCAATCAGCTAATTGTGTGTGTTTTTCTTTTATGTTAGGCACCCAATACTCATCACTTTATTTCTTCAATCTTACCAAACAACAACCCCTTTTCTAATAATATCATATTCTTCTTATGTCTCCTTAGATCACCTTTGTGTTCATGTTTTTTAATTCAATTTTAGTGGTGGTCATCTAAAACAAATGATAACATAATTTTACACCTTTTTTTTAAAAAAAAAAAAAATATAAGAATACTATTGAATTTTTTTAACAATATATTTTTAAACAAAATACAAAATTAATGAGTATTTTTATTAATTTAGCCTAAATTACTAATTCTTAATCTAATTAATGAATTTTAAAAAATAATTTATGGCCCAAAATAGGTGGCCTACACTGGAAAACTTACGCTGCTTCCCGCACGACCCAATTCCAAATAAATCTGAAACAAAAAAAAAAAAAAAAAAAAAAAAAAAAAAAAAAAAAAAAAAAAAAA